TATTGCTTATGCCACAGTGGTGGTCATAGCGCTGTAATAAGAGAGGCTAGTTCTCTCCTCGCACTTTTTGAGAAAAATCCCCATCCCCCATCCTCACCAGTTGATTTATCAAGTGACAGATGGATGAGAGAGCGATTGTTGTGGGCATTGTAGTTTGGCCCACTCACGTTTGAAATACATCGCCGGTCTTGTGCGCTGGGATGCCAGATACTGTCATGGCCTCCACCGCTACAGGCTGAGAGCAGACCCCCGCAGCATTCACCCTTTGCACTTTGTCGAGAGTCTCGTAATCGCCGCCGTTGGTAGGATTGTCTACGTTGAACCAGCCAGTCCTGCAAGCTGTCATTGAACACGTGAGAGACAAGAATTGCTCAAAAGACCAAAGTGGAAGTTTTTACAATTTGAATCTTGAGTTGCAAAAAAATAGACAGACAAGCATAAACAAAAACTCACTGTGACAGAAATCGGAGGGACACGTCAGCACCACTTTGTAATCCTCGCATTGTTTTGCACTCTTCTGATTCTCATTGATGCATGCAAACCCAAAAATAACATCGTAGCTGCAATTTAAAAGCACAAGTCACACCGAGCACAATTTTCTTTTCTAATTGGGATGTGAATGTGAATGAAGGACTCACAAGAGGAAGATGTCTCCCGTGTGTTTCGAAGGCAAGCCGTCTTTTGTCCTGGCCTCTATTTGGAGCGGATTCCCGCAGACCTGATTCGGGTAAGCCTTCATCAGCTGATACAAGGCCTCCACGTCACCCTCGTCTGATTGGTCAACATCGCTATTGAACCATCGTGTGCGGCACTCTGACACTGAGACATGGATCAATACATTTCCACGTTTAGCACAATTTCTTTGTCAGTTTTGTACTCATTTTAGACCACCTTATGAAAACTTAAAAATGGTGCAACAATTATCTGCACCAACTGCACAACTGTCATCGTATTGTACCACTGAGCAGTTTATCTCTGCTCGATGACTCTGCACATTGTCGCACAGCTGTCATTGGGTGGTACTACTGCTCAATGGTACCCTTACGTTACGGAAAGTCTTTTAATACTGATCTGTCATTTCCTTGTTTATCATAGTTGCTTGTTATTGAAAATACAAGTGGAGCCTTTACTATCAATCCATCCATCCATTTTCTGATCCACTTATCTTAACAAAGGGTTGGGAGCATGCTGGAGCCTATCCCAGCTGTCTTCGGGTAGTGGGTCGGGGACATCCTGAACTCGTTGCCAGCCAATCGCAGGGCACACAGAAACGAACAACCATCCACGCTCGCACTCACACCGAGGCACAATTTAGAGTGCTCCATTAACCTGCCGTGCATGTTTTTTATATATATATATTTTTTTTTTTTTTTTGGGGGGGAAAACCAGCCTCACACAGACCCTTGCTCCAACGGCCCCCGGGTAAATTGAGTTTGAGACCCCTGTTTTGTAGGTTCTTATTAATCCTGGCGTACAACATGCACTGATCAGTGTTTTCAGCTAAATACCTGTAGTCATCAGCGAACAAAAGTTATCAGTAACAGTGGCAACATAAGATGGCTGCTTTCTGGCTTCAGTAACAAGAGGCCTATTGATAGTCCACTCATATACCTGTATAAGTCTGTGCTTCTAACCTCGCCACTTGTGAATACCAAGTTGATTTACCTATCTCTGGTCATGTGTGATTATCAATCTGTTCTTAAAAACAGCTCAGACCATTCATGGTTTCTTCAGACTTTGAATAAGATTGGTGACTCGGTCCACTCGCTCATCTCTCTTGTACTTTGCATAGTACTGAGATGTTTTGTTGAGTCATGATCTGATTTCTTGAAAACCGCAACTTTCTCTGTGCATTCAAGACCGGGTGTGCCTCTAACTCAACAAAACAAAAATTGCATCAACTGTTTTCTTGAAATTGTTTTTTCTTGTTGCCAACCTTTCTCATGTGATTAAAAAAAAGCACCCAGGGCAACACAGCAAAAGAGGTGGGCCTCCTCCCACCTACTAAGGTTCAACTTTGACGCCAAGGAGGGGGCCACAAAATATCATCTGCTGGCCCCAAATGGCCCCGGGGCAACAAGAAGTTTGAGAACTCTGATTTAGCTGGTGAGGACCAAAATCCAATTTGTGACTCATTTTTAAATGACTACACCATCCCCAGCTAGAATACGATTCTTTAAATTTGTTTTTTGCTGAGACCAATAATATAAAAATATGCCAAATAAAACAACGTACTAGACAGAAACAGTGGAAACATTCACTTGTTTTTTTTCCCCACATTATTTAAATTAGGCCAAACTTGACAGCGGCAAAATATATACTACCAAAGAGGGTCATCAAAAGGTCACAAGTGTCTGACGCCAATTTCTGCAATCTAACTTTAGCCATTACATCCCACGTCAGTCTTTGTCGAGACGTGAAAAAGCCTGTCAAGCGCTCCTCGTTTTTTTCTTGACTCTCTCCATCAACATACCAATCTGGTTGCCAGATAAGGCCTTATCACTAGATGACTGATTGACAGCTCCATCAGATACAATGACGAGACAACCAGGAAGCCAATAACAGTCCTCAGGGACCAGTGAGTTGTGCTTGTATGTACTACTTGTGCTAGGTATTGTGATTGTTTTGAGATTACTGTAGGTCATATTCTTAACAGACTGACAAAGTATCCAGCAGTTTGGCCAATAGTTATATGATCTAAGAAAGGGTTCTCAGAATGTCTATGAGGGGCCTTCCAGTCTACACAGATGCGCCTGTAAAAGTAAAGGTATAGCAGTGAATCAGAAATCACATATGATCATATGAGAAGGCCCACATTATATTGGAAGACTATGAGAAAGCGCTGAGGAGCGAGATCCAGTCACTTAATAATCTTGTTCTTTTGATTACCAGCGGCTGGGCTATAAACGATTTTTCATCAGCTTCCTGATTTATCTTAGGTATGTTGTGGAAATGGACAGCAACTGCAGTGTACAGTTCTCACAATGCATCTCCATTGTAATCTCTTGAACACAGTCGCACAATGACGATGGCATAATTTGCCGAGAAAGATCGTAACCAGTTTAATCCCTATGCTGATGACACGGCATCAGCAGCAAGATTCAAAAATTGAACTACAAATCAATTCATGCAACAGTTCCACCTAAGCTGTGCTGCCATTTTGTATCTTATTTTTTTCCAAGTTTCGACCCTTAAAAATCATAACCTGCTATTTATGCCATCGGGCTGTTTATTTGATATCCATTGTCAACAAACACTCTGCTCAAAGATTTGCTATTGACAACCATTATTGTTTTTATTCTAAATTTTGTGAAAAATAAACACCTTATTTCAACACATATTCTGACATAGGATGAAAAGTGAAAACCGAAGACAGCCCTTTACCAAATTATAATAAAACTGTGGCAAAAGGCACTGTCTGGCGGATATATTCAAAGATGATGTGATTTCATTTTTAAATTAATTAGTGTGTGTGTGTTGGGGGGGGGGCGGTAAAATCCCCCCACTTTTTTAGGTTAGAAGTAAGGGGGCCAAAGCAAGCAAACTATGTCATTAAAACAGATGCTTGAATTTGGGCAGCTTTTTTTTTTTAATTAAAAACACATTGCTTAATAGCAGTGAAATATGAGCGCAAGGTTACAATATATATATATATATATATATATATA